CACGACGATTAAGTTCCTGAAATATTTTCATGACATTTTTATACCTAAACTTCGCTTAATGGAACTGAAATACTTCTTCCAGCAGCTTATTCTTTTCTTCCTGCAAAAAAAGGCTGTTATATATTTGCTGTATATGATGAAAACTGAAATTCTAATTTATAACAAAAAAGCATACCTCAGCTAATCAAATCACTTTTTAAAGATCATATGATTTTAACACTTAACACGGCTGTCAGGTACGTTATCGAATTATAGAGATGAAGTCGTGTTAAGCTTTTAATTTTGCAAATCAGCTTTTTACTTACTTCGCGGCTTAACATGGCACATTACGTTGAAATGAATATCTGTTTCAAAGACGTCATAAAAACTAACAATTGCGGAGTGATTATGATGAGATCATAATGCTGACTGAAATAACAGACTAGAAAGTGAAAAGGACCACTTGAATTGACCAAGATCATTTTGCGGCATTTATGTTTTGACCTTTTTCGCGTTACTGTTGAACTCTCTTGATATAAACCTCAATAAGAGAATAAGCCATAAAAGTCGTTGTCCTACAGAAAAGAACCGGAAAAGCAATTTTGTGCGAGTTGTTCATCGTGGGGAATATTTATCACGTAATCTGTGAAATAAATGTTACTTCATGTCACTTGTGATGTAAAGCCGAACAGGTATGAAAAAGAGAAACACCCGCCGCCGGCGGTACCTAAATATGACATTACAGTTAGCCAATTTTCGCCAATCGCAGTTTGTTGTGATTGAATCTGCTAGTTCTCAAAACTGTAATAATACAGACGTGAATTCAGAGAGAGGATAATTATAAATCCGTATTTATTCGAAGGCTCTTTAAGTGTGCTTACAGGCGGAAACTAAATGTTTGAATAGATAAGCAAAATAATTTGAGGTACTTTTATGACTTTACTCAATACAAAAATCTTGAAGCGTTACACTCTCTGCACGAAGCCATAAAGAATGCGTTAGAAGGGCGAATTACGCTATAAGGCTTTAATGTACCGACGATCGCCTAAAGTCATGGGACTGACGGTTAACCAAAAACAAAGCAAGAACTGTTGAAACTGCTGTACCCACACTGAATAACTCAGTCAACGAATGAACTAGTAGATTAAGTGAGAAAACGAAAAAATTAGTGAATGGATAATAAATGCGTAAATTAATGAATCAATGACCAGGTATGAATGAAAGTTCTTTTACGAATCAGGTCGATCCTACATCAGCAGGTTGACTGAAACTTTCAACAGCGAAAAGTACACAAATAACTAAAACGCTGTTTAAGACACCACCAAGGCAAGAAACACTAACTAACAAGTTGTTCGTCGAACCGATCGTATCGCTGTTGGTATTCCTCGCGAATTCCCTTGAACCAGGCATCGAGTTCTTCAACGGATTTTCTGTAACGCTTTTCTGCAGAATCAGTAAGCAACTTCTGCGCTTCAGACAGATCGAGCGCCAACCTGTAAGAACAACACTAAGGTTAGCAACAGCGTAGTGCATAGAGGTAAACAGAATTCTTGCAAGACCCCATAGATGAGAACTTGTTTTACATGAGGGGGACGAAATCTTACGCTGCACTTGGTAATCGTAAACTACTTCTGATACACAACTTCATCAATCAGCTCAGGCCATGGCAATGACCTGCATTTTCATTTGAAACCAAAATGGACAGATCATGATTTTATATCGAACTGAAACTAGGCACCGACTTCAAGATCTATTTTATGACGGATTTGTATAACTGAATCGATCAAATCCTCCTGTCAGACGGCAGAAGGTACTGTGCTACGTCATTTTTTCTGCTTCGGTGTGAATTTAGTGACACTGGCTGCTGACTTGAATTCAGTTCCTGACGTCATCTGATTCAACTTCAGTTTCATGCAACTTTGTGTCCATAGTTTCTTTTATTCTGTCGTGTCTTAGTACATCAGATTTCGCACTGATTCGTCATTGCTTGAAGATGATATGGATTGCAAGGATATGGTATGAATGAAATTGCTGCTCATTGCTCACGTAGCAGTACAAATTTGAATGGCCACAGTACGCTTTGCAAGGAAAGTGTAAAGCATACAGTATGTATCTTGTTCATGAAAGGCTGCTCATCACCTCTCGCTATGAAACCAAATATAAGCTGCATCCAGAACCAGTACTTGGTCTCATCGACGTACTATTGTCCCAAACCTGACATGTCTCGTTTGAAAGCTTTCATGGAAATCAGACAATCGCCAATCTTTGGAAAACAACCTTTATGTGGTTTACGGTTCATTCCTTTCCCCTCCACTTTTTAATCTTCATAACATATTACATAGAACAGTCAATAGTTAATCATCAAGATGGTCAGTGACCTGAATGGCAATTGCACTAAAATAAAAAAGGTATAGTAGTCTGTTTATAATCTTGCCATCAATCACAATCCTTCAGAATCGACCATTCACAATGCATTATTTCCCCTTTCATAATGCAGGATATTCGTTGTGTAGCTCCTCGACTGCTGCATGATAGGAGCATAAATATGAAAGGGGAGATCCTGCGTTAGACAAAAGAGGCAATATGTCTAAGTAACCTAAAATGGCATGCAACAGCTCAATGATCTTCAACAAAGACTTTAGAGTACGCTACTGCTTCAAATATTCATTTCTTGTCAAAGTGCCACATAACATCTGTGGGAAACTGTAGGGCTGCATACTACCGCTGATCGCTTATGCTGGGCCGATAGCCCTTACAGCAGTGAGCAAAGCGTTGCTCATATGTAATGTTCCGTGCGTTGTACTGAAAACAGTAGTCTCGTGCATTTTGTAACACCGGTAACGCGAATCGTTGACCACTAATACCATGAGAGTTTTAAAACTATCTAAAACAACATCTCCCATTCACTTCACGTCGCTCTGACTCGCTTTCCCTATGTCAGTCGAAAAAAACAAGTGAACCAGCTAAATACGTTCAAGCGTATGCCTGACGAGAACTGTACTGGAGTTCTTCAGCTCCGTTTATGTCACACTGTTTAACAGACCTTTGTAATGAACTGCTACATGACGAAAGGTGCATTTGGCACTGTAACTGTCGAATAAAATTGAACCATCGCCTGATTAAATGGCATTCACGCAACTTGGAACAAAGGGGTTGAGTTCAATATGCCGCAATATATGAAATCTTGAAGTACTCATGCATCAGAAAGACTCGTTATATTGTTAAGCGCTAAAAAGAAATAAAAATTCATTGATTGATTGATTGAGTGTATTACTCTATCGCTTCCTTAACTCTCTTTCGCAGCAAACGATATCACACATAGGATGGGCTGCTTCATGCTTGGTTGTGCTCTTTGTTATAATCGTTATAGGCAACGACCGCTGAATAGCGGTTAGTCACTGCTAGCCAAAAACCGTACATTGATATCAACTGAACCTGCTTTCACCTGCTAAAACAATCAATGTTCACATTATTTCATAATTCATTCAGTCCAAATGTAGCGATCACCTTTCCTCCTCCTCATATCATTTCTGCAACCATGGTATCTTCAGCGGATGCTGATAGGCAAATCATTATTCACAGTTTTTATTTAATCGTTTCAGTTCCTATAACTATGTTATCGTTTAATGTCAACGGTGTGTGATAATGAGCTTTGGAAGAAACTTTAAATGCACAATATCAATACAGTAATTAAGTACACTTACCTCTCGTTTTCAGCTGCCAAGTACTCGAACTTCGCTTTGTGGAATTCAGCACCGTAGTCGGCTGCTGAGCTACTACTGGTGCAATCGCCGCATACATACTGCAAGAACTGGTCCCGCCCAATGGCGATGTGATCGCGGGGGCTAAGCCACGTCGGCGTAGTGACCGCCTTTCCATTGACGCACACATGGGCTTGGTCCTTGGGAACTAGCTGCAGTCGGCCGTCCTCGAATCTTTCGATGCAACAGTGCAATGGATTGATTGTGCTGCCTGAAATGCGACGGACAACACTAAGCAAACGCTAGATGATGATCGCATACCGGAAAGAACAATTTCACAGCGAGGAAACGTTCCGATGTTGTTCCGCCCAATGCGTAATTGAAAAAATAAGGGCGGCGAGAGTTGAACATCCGGAGAGATCAGAACCAACATCGGCTCTTGACTGTCCTCTATCGCGCTATTTCGGAAAAAGCCAGATCTCTGAAATGTGTCATTTTTATAATATAGCTTGACTGTAAACCACAGTTTGACAAAATAAATTATTAACTAAAAATCATGTTAACCCTTTACTATGATCATTACTGAAAATATGACGAAGTTACCATTCTAAAGTAATGTCATGGCTTTTTATAAAGTTCACTTGATGAACAGTGCAAGTAAACGAATGACCATTATGAGATTAGATTAGGAAAAATTTCAAACAGATCGTACATACTGAAATATCAGTTTTCCTCCTATTTTCGCCACACACATTACTTCTAGCACCCAATTTATCATAGAGTGCTAGGTGTAACGCTGATCTACGCTTCTATTACATCAGACGGAAGAACCAACTTTTCTGAAATTTTCGTCTCCCTGCGAAAAAATTAACAATCGTATGTTTAGAC